AAAGGTGTCATGCAGAGATAGATGTCATATACAGGACTTTGAGGCTAGACTCTGCTTCAGGTCACACAGTTCACAAGGTGCACTTGGTGTGTTTGTTTTTCAGGTCCAGCTGGGGGCTTTTCCAGAATTCCCCCCATTCCATGTGTTTGGCCTTCACAGAGAGCAAACTTTTGCATTACAAGGTTCCTTTCACCCAGGCTCTGCTGCAGGGCATAGCTTCCTTACTTTGGCTGTGATTGTAGGTTCCTTTGGTTCTGGCTGAGCATTTAGCTTTTCCCCTGAAGCTTGCTAAGCGCCCTAGGCACCAGCATGACTCCTCCGGGGTTGCCAGCAATGCAGACATTTGCAACAAACATATGCTAATTCAGAAGGTTGCCTTTCAAAGCTGTTTTTAGGCTGGTAGATCAGAAAACTGCCCAGCACTGCCCTCCAGTGGCCTGAGAGGCTCCCTCTAGGCAACGGTGGTCGTGGTGAAAAGGGTGTTTACAAGCATGTTTGGGCAAAAACCCCTCTCAATAGCCAACACAACTTCAAAACACTCTGAGATCCAGTCAATGTATTGGACACATCCTGCTTCCTGCTAGAACATTTTACTGCAGAAAATCTTGCCTGAGACATTTTTTACACCGTGAGCTGCTTCCTGTTAGCTGCTCAACGTTCTCATCTTCCCATCTGCCAAAAGAGGCCCAGTGGAAGGGATTCACCTCCACCAAGGCAGCTGTAGGCAGTGGAAGAGGATCAAAGGAACTTAAAGTTGACCTGTGGCACTCCAGCAGGGTCTCACATAGATCAAAGGGTACATACATGGTTAGAGCCTAACTTCTGGAACTGCCTTTAGAGATAGCTTGGCAGAAGTATGGCCCTGTCTTTACTACAGCCTAGTCTGTGGTTTTTTTTTGGTGGGTGGGATGAGGCATGTAATAAAGAAGTTTGCACAAGCAGCCAAGGTTGTGAAGGCAGAGTAGGCGATTTCAGACTTCAGGCAAATCTGCTTCAGTTTTTTCCCCTCAAATCCTAACCCTGGACCTCCCATAGTCTGCAAATACAGGAATCTTCTGAGAAATTGCTGGTGATGCTGATTAGGAAACATACTGCTTAAGATGTCATTGCTTTGTAGAATTGATGTTCTGTTGAGGGGACCTGCTGGTTTCCCGGTTTCTCAGTTTAAGGCAGGTTTTCACTGAGGTTTTTGTTCACAGTTTGTATCTGTACGACTGACAGAAAACACAATTTGAGCCTTGTTGCTGGTGCATCCCAAGATGCACACAGGTTGCCACAGGATGGCGCCTGATGGCCAGGCTTGCAGGGCTGGGAAGAGTTGGGCCATACACCTGCATCTATGGGATACGTATACTGTATTCAGTCTTAATCCACACAGATATTTCCTATTAAATTCTAATAAACAGACTAAATTTGTGTCTCTAAATTGCAATCAGGCTGTGTTGAGACTGGAAATTTTGTGTGATTTTTCCAGGTTTCAAGAGCAACTTTAAAGTTTTGGCTCGGAGACAAAACTCTTCCTTCACTCTCCTGATGTAGATGTTGCAGTAGGCCTTGTAGTGTTCAGTGGGCTGCTTGGCTCAGTCCTGCAGCGTTCCAGGATGTTTCTGGTTGTGTCGATTTGGCAGCACTGTTGATAATGAATTTCTTTTCAACTCTCCTGTTTTCACACAATGGCCTTTGCTTGAGTTTGTGCAGTGCAGAAGGGGCATCTAGTGGCCAGATGGAAAAGCGGTGACAGTGCATGCTAAGGGACAGTAGCTTTGGTTATTACAGGAAACAGCCAATGTCGAGATAGAGATTGGACCCTGGAGAACAATTTGCATTGTTCGATTTGGAAAAGCAGATTTGTATTCAGTGATGAATTCCAGAAGTGTAAGGAGGGAAGGGGAAGCTCTCCTTCTGAGGCAGCTGGATGTGAATATGACAGGAGATAGGAATGCCTTTATCCTTACTAGCTTCTGTCTGTGATATTAACTGTCATATGGCATATCTAAACTCTAGTATCCAGTCTGTAATATTAGGATTATGTTAAGCCCCCTGTGAAGAAAGATCATGAAACTCATGCAAATGTACCTTGTTCTTTGAATAGAAAAGTGCAGACTGTTTTGCTTAGGTTCTTTGCTGTGCAGTTCATTCTGAACTGTTTGTAGAAAAATATATAGGATTGCGTTGTGAAAAGTGTACAAAAAGGTATAGAATAAGAAGACGAACAGGTTCTGCTGAGTACCCTAGACCTACTTTCTCTCCTTTCTCTTAATCCAGCTTGCTTACTGGTGCCCCATTTTCGTGGCATGCATTTCCGGCTTGCAGAGTTTCTTACCTACTGGCTGAGAATAGAAGCCTTGCTGTTATGCTGGCCTTAAGTCTCTTGTAATGAGTGTTACCCAGGCGAAAGCAGCTGTGTCCTTTGGCTCTGGTTTTAATACTATGGTAAAGAGCAGATTATAGTGACGTTGGACTGCAGTGATGCGGAGGTAGCGCATACCAAGGCCAGTTTGGGGAAGGCTTTAGCAAGGATGACTAAGGACTTGGAGCTTATGCTTTAGATAACAAATCCACCCAGTTGTGCTCCTTCTTTGGAAATGTAGTCAAGCCTAACGAGTCAGGGCCTTTACAGAGTTGCATTAGGGTCCTTTAATTGGACTAAGCTGGTTAATATCACACTAGGTTTTTGTGTGCCGAAGAGTTCAGCACAGAAATTGTCTGCCATTTATGCTGGCAAAATCTAATGTAGTTGCCGCCATGAACACTGAAAAAACAGTAAATTCTAATATCCTCACAGGTAGACACTGGATTAAGATACTCTGATTATTATAAGGAAGTTGGATGTCCTGACTTACGTGGACTTCATTAGCTTGGGTTTTGAGCAACACTAAATGAGCCTTAAGTCTTGACAGTTAACAGGGGCCAGAAAGAACAAGTGAACACTTTTTTTTCAAGAGGATCATCCCTCATAACCTGCTGCAGTCCCAGAACTCACAATATATGTGTCCTGGTAGTGGTACAGGCATGGGAGTCTCCCCTCTGTCTGTGGAAGATTTTGGCTGAGTACCATATACTGCTGCCATTTCCCAGGTCATTCAAGTCAAAACCCTGTTGTGTCAAAAGCATGAAATGCTGCCTTCAGAAAGGTGCCACTGATACCATTCCTGCGTTGTGATGTTGTTCACATATCAGCCATGTTAGCAGCTCAGTTTGAACCTGTCAGTGTTAACTCGACAGACCACATGAAGACTCCGAAGTAAATCTTGGTCACTAGCACAGGCCACACAACACAGAAGAGCTGCACAAGCCTCTGTGGGAGGACGTCCTCTTATGTGTGGGAATTTGTTACACCGCTTCTGGTTTATGAAAGCTGAGCATGTCCTTCAGGTAGACACATGAGCTACAAATTACTATGGATAGTTTTATTTCCCAAGAGTTGTGAGGTATTGCACAAGTCAACTTACAGAAGGGGCTGAATTCACTTGGGGAAGAATGGTGGCTTCTTACAGTACTAATTGTGCAGTGGATTTGTGTGTATTTGCTTTGATTTGGAAAAGGTGAGATGTTGGGAGGATAATTCATGCAGGTGAGGCATTCTGAGCAGAAAGAATCTGCACATGTCAGCGTTTGGTGATGTCCCCTGACAACAAGAGAGAGTCTGAGGAGAGAGAAATGAGTTCCAGATGGTTGTGGTAACTGGCAAGAAACTAATGCTGAGGCTGATCTTGAAAAAACAGACTGAAGACTCCAGAGATGAAAGTGGGGACAGGGTGGTCCAGATAAGGTTGATAACACATGATATATCATCTTTGGAGCATTCCAAGGCAGGATAGTGAGATGAACCATTTGTTCCTGAATTGCAGTGTTTTGGTGGTGAAACCTCTCTCGTGGTGACTGTTTCGCTTTCTGCACCGAAGGTAAAAACCAAGGCAGTAAATCCCTCTTCCCCTGCACATGGCCCAGCAGCCTCTGTCTGCTCTGCAAGGATGCTGAGATAACACAAATTACTCATTGTAGGATTGCTGTTGTTTTCATCATGTGCAGCTTAGGTCTGTCTGCACCAATTCCTTGCTGTGCTGCGTATTTCTTGTTTAAACTAGGAATTTGCATGGCATCTTACCTGCCTTCTATCTTTAGTTGTCAGTGGAAGGGTGAGGCAATGCACGTAATTCTTATTATGGTTAATTTAATCCAATTGTGATGTGGATTTGGAGGTACTTAGTAGGTCACAGCAGAGTGTGGGCTCTTGTCTTTTTCCGGTTACTCTCATAAAACAATGGACACTGATATTTTTTTCCACTTTTAAAGCTAAGCATATGCATCTAAAGGTGATGATGTGGTTTGGTGTTGTGTAATGCAGATACTTCTGTTGAGCTCTACAGCTGTTCCTTAGTTGGGAAGAGGGTTCATGTATATTTTGTGGGTTTGTATGTCTTGTGGGTTCACACATGTCATGATGCATGAGAGACAGCACTAAAGACTAATGTGGGCTAACTCTGCTATTGGCATTAACAGTGTGCTTTTGTCTTTTGTCTTATTTTCTCTTGGAACAAAGCAGCCTCGATCAGAAAACTGATTGATCCTCATCTGGAGTTTGCTTATAAATCTGAGCTGATACAGAAGCCTGTGTCCTAGAAATATCCCCAGCCACCTCAGCCCCCATCCAGTTCTGAGCTCCTGTCACAGCCATGGAGGAGACACCAGGTTTGTTTTCTTCTTTATATTGTGGGAGTTCAAAAAACAGAAAGCAGAAACCACCACCAGGGTTCTTTTTCCTTTTTGCCTCTGCTGTGACTCTCCCACTTCTTCTGTTTTGTGCTCCCTTTGACAGCCTGTAATTCACCAGCTGCTTGAGCCTGTAAATCCGGCTCTCTTTGCCCTGTGCAGTTCAATCCGTGTGATCCAGGCAGTGTTTTCTCCTTGTTCCAGGAACACGAGTGAAGCACTGAGAGTGGACAGGGACTCTGTCCACTGTGTTAGTGCTAGTCCCCAGTTCGGCGGAGCATGGAGCCAGTGCCTGTAGTAGGGAGAATTCTCCAAAGTCCGTGATGTGGGCAGAGCTGGTATTTGCTAGTTTCCAACTACTGTTTCTCCCCAGAGGTTTGTAGAACAGCCACTCTTAGACTTGTCATGGAATTAAGGAAAACTACCTCCAGGGCGTACAATGCTGCTCTCCTGCTGCCACTTTTCCTCTTATTTTGGGGTAAGTTTTTTATCTTCTGTGCCTGATTCTTGCCCAGCTACTATGCAGTAATTTTGGATGAAATCTGTGACCTGCCCTTGTATTGCAAAGGTAACTGAACAGAATGTCACTCTCACAGTGAGCTTTGCTGCCTGAAAACTTCTTGTCTGGCAGATAAACAGGCTTTTCGTTCCAGATACGTTTTTCCTTCTATTTATTTCTTGTTTTCTTTCATTTCTCTCCCTGTGCACATGTATGTATGCATTTATGCACAAGAGCTGAAAGCATGTGCACTTTCACATGATGAAGTATTCAGTTATTATAGTAACCTTTAGTTCTGAATTTTACTTTTGTGCCAATAAAGAAGAAACAGAGCTTTATTTGCATTCTGTGTGCTTTAGAAATACATCTGAGCGAAACAGGAGTGTACCAAGGGGAGTACAGTAATATGCTGAAGTGCCAGATACCTCTGGTACAAAATGTGGAGGAAGAAGAGAGTACACGAGTATGCTCACTTACAAATTTTGAAGCAAGCAGATCCATCCTGATGGGGGGTTTCTGTTGGTTTTTTCCACATTGAAACTTATAGCCAAATAATATACTTGAGTATACTGAGATTCTTCAAGTTCACATGAACATGTCTTTAGGCTCCAAAAATCACCTTTGGATACAATTGCTTATGCTCCCTGAAAAACAATTCTCTTTCTTCTGGGATGGTGCCTGAAGATGGGGCCTAGACATCTGTTTTAGTCGTCTAGGGATTATATGGTCATGTCAGAGCATGTCCAACCTTTTACTGGAAAGTGTGATTGGGATTGAATCAGCCTCCTTATCCTCTCCTTGGCACTGCCAGGCCAGTATCTGTGTCTGAAACTCCTGCTTGGTTCCCACTTAGCTGGGACAGGAGTGATCAGTGACATGAAGGAGTGGAGGTAAAATATGGAGAACATGCAGGAAATACAGTCAAAGTGCTTTTTGTCTGCCAGTACCTGCTGACAACTGCAGCTGGACTTACA